TAGATTTAATCTCTCCTAATCAGTAAATAAGGCCATATATTTCCTCAGAGTACACAACTAGCTCTATCTTCTGGTAGTCTCATACTTGTTAGCTTCTAAATGTGATGCAACTATAATTTCTTTTACAAATTGTTTATTGGTACAATTTAGATATACACAATGATCATATTCATCGTAGGGAATCTGTACCTGTACCTGATACATCCTGCTTCCTCTTTTTTTCCCAATTTCCTCCCGTCTTTAATCCCTCTTCCCCTCTTTATTTACAAAACTTTGTTCTCATTCTGTCCTTCTTTTATCATTTCTTCTCTTTATTTTTTTCCCCTTCCCCCTCCCTAGTTCCTTTTTTGTTTTGAGCAATTTCTTCCTATTTCACAATATCTATTGTACATTTTAGTCCTTATTTACTCTTTCAGTTTCTCACACCAGGGACACGATGCAATATTTACACAGGTGTGCCGGATTTATTTCACTTAAGAGTATGGTCTCAAGGTGCATTCATTTACATAGAAATGTCTTGATTTTATCCTTCTGTATGGCAGAGCAGTACTCCAGTGTATAAAAATGGAGCGCTCCACATCTTTTTTACCCATTCCTCAGTTGATGGACATTTGGGTTGTTTCCAAGATTTTGGTATTAAAAACTGTGCTGCTATGAACACGATTGCACACATACTGCTTTGTATGATGTTTTTAATTCATCTGTGAAGACACCCAGAAGGGGAACAGCTGGCTCAAATAGGACCTTTAATCTTAGTTTTTTGAGGAATCTCCACACTGATTTCCACAGTGGTTGCACCAGTCTGCACTTCCGCCAACAGTGGAGAAAGTTTCCTTTTTCCCCACAGCCCTGCCAGGATTTGTTACTGGTTGATTTCTTGAAGATAGTCATTCTTTCTAGAGTGAGATGGGATCTCAGTTTTGTTTTAATTTGCATCTCTTGAATGACCAAATATGTTAAACATGTTTTCATATATTTGCTATTTGTATTTCTTCATCTGGGAAGTGTGGATGCAACTATAATTTCATTTCCTCATTGATTCAAGAGCCCTTTTACGAAATGACCTAAAACTTTGAAGTTATTTTAAAAAAGCATTTGTTTTTAATTTTGCTATTAACTTTTAGCATTATGTCACTATGATCCAAAAATAACTAATATATATTCCATTTTTGGAAATTACTATGACTTTTCTTGCTGGCACCATGCGTAGTAAATTTTTGTGAAGATGCAATGAGTCTTTAAAAAGATGAAATATACAGATATTGTGTTTGAAGGTTAACATTCAATATATAGCTACTAAATTGATAGTGAATACATTATTTGCAATTGTATCTTTATTTTTATGTCTTTTTTCCTATGTCTTTATTTATTCATTTTGGCATCTTCATTTTAAAACACAGATTTCATTTTTATATTTTTTTCTTTTTTTTTGAGCCAGGGTCTCATTATGTAGCCCAGGCTGGCCTCGAACGCACAGCCATCCTCCTATCTCGGCCTCCCGAGTGCTAGGATAATAGGTGTGTACCACGACATCGGCCTTTTAATTTTTCTTGCTTAGGTCTTTGTGAACTATAAATTTATCCCATGCTTTTTGAAATTTCCCATAATTCATTGCATCTCTCATTTGTCCTTGTACACAAGAAGTAAATCTCCGTATATGTCTGAAACGCGTTATCAGATGCATAGAAGATACAGGAGTTGTATTTATCTTTGGTATGCATTATTCACATAATTTTTATAATGTGAATCTTTTATCTTGTTTAATGATTCATAATTTAAGCTTAACTTATGCTTTATTTTTGTTTATGTGACATCATTCATTTAGGCTACTCATATATTTATTTTAAAGTTTCAGCTTATTATTTATTTGAATCAATTCACATGAAGGAAGAGCAATTATGCTGGGCCTTGCTTGAGGAATTCTTCTACTCTGTTTTCCAGCAATACATTCAAATAGGCGTCGTCTACACAGGGAAAGGTTAAATAGTTTTGCCTTCAGAAAAAAAATTTAAAGATAAAATGTGGAAATGCCACTTATTGTTTGCTGTTCAAAACTCAGATATTATGAAAAATTTGAACATAGTTCTCAATTTTAGTGTTGAAAACCTAAAAATCTAAAAATTCATGTAGTTTTAAAATCTTTATGCAAACTGTTCTAATGACTTTCCAGCTAAATATTTGGAATCAAGATATCTTTAAAAAAGTATCCTATTAGTCTTTTAAAACTTTGACAAGTTCTTCTGTCTAGAGTTCTCTAATGCACACCATTATATTACTCACACATTTCTAACATTTCACAGCACTTTAACAAAGTTAATCTAACTAACTTTGTTAGTTTATCTAAGGGACAACTAGGTTACTACCAAATTGCGCATACAAGGGTGTCTGTAGCACACATTTTGAAAGGGGCAGCCACAGTCCAGAAGAATCCCAACAACAACCTTAGTAGAAGGTATAAATTTAAAATGTCTCAAATATTTTCAGTGCTTGATTTTAACCTCAAATTTTCATTTCTTTCTGCCTCATATTTAGGATATGAAAAGTATACATTCTCCCATGCTCGTTAAACTGTGGAATTTTGAATTGACCTACAAGAGAATCAAGTTATGTTATGTCTGCATTCCACTATTTTTTTTTTTAGTTATATTCTAAAATAAGCAGTAGTACATCCTTTCACATGTTAAAAACAGTATTTGCATTTCTGCACACCTAGGTCTGGAACTGCATCATTTACACCTGTGCTTTGGGACTTCTAGTAGGTGCAAACAATTTTTTGTTTTTTGGCAAAAAATTTTCCTTTTTTTTTTCTTTTTCTTTTCTACTGCTGCTTCGACTGGCTGATCTCATCCTGGGAACCAATGCCTGGTGCTGGCTGGGACCTAGCTTTTTTACTTTTTATCTTTTGTAATAATTAATTAATTAATTAATTAAATACTTATTGGAATAATTAATTAATTTAATTAAGTAGTACTTTATTTTAAATTACAGTGTATTGTTTGGGTTAGGTTTTGCACCAAATCTCAATCTTTTCCATTTAGTAGACAAGATTTTTAATCCATTTGCACCATTAAACATTTTCCTGAGACTCTAAAGCATATGTATTCCAAGAGTTCCTTGAATTTCTTAGAATCAAAGGCTTTTGGAGTTATTTTATGCCTAAATCTTGCATGGCATGCTGACTATTATTTATGTTGAAGAATACTTTCTGATATCGCCTCTTATTTATCCATTTGTTCTTTGATTGTATTCATGTTTCAGTCTTTCCCTTTGGCCAAAATTAGTGCAGGTGGCTTCTTTTTGGGTATTTTACTGTATCCTTGAAAAGGCTTAAAATCTGAGAATTTGACCTGGAATGCTCAATGAAACAGCTCTCCAGCTTTTACTGTATAAAAAGCTCAACAAGTCACAGGTGTGAGTAGCAGGGAGACAGAGCTGAGGTCTTGGGCAGCTTGGGCAGTGGGAACTTCATTTCTGTTCAGTTTCTCTGTATTTGCTGAGCCCACAGAACCAGAAACCAGTTTTCCATATCTGGCTTCCACTGCAGGCAACATGCTGCCAGCACCAAGGTGTGGTGGGTGAGTGTCCTGCCTTACAGAGTGGAAGGTTCATCTTCTTTAGGACTCTGTATTAACAACCCTGGTATTGAGGGTTACCAGTACCAGAAGAAATATTTCAAAAGTTACTAAGTCTGTGCCCTTTAGGCTGGGAGTGTTCTTCTGGTACTGGCCCCATCTCCAGAGGGGCACTGAAGGTGTCTGCATTCTATATTGAGAAGAAACAACTCTTCTCCAGCAATTCACAGACACCCTGTTTACACAACACCCAACCCTTATACCTTGAGATGAAGATAGGTCAGATGTCTTTATTAAAAAATCCTAGCAACTATCATTAACTTTGGAGCTTTAGCTAAGTACTATTTACTGCATGCTTGGATACAAAAGTACTTCATTTAATTTGAATTATTTGTTGCACAGGATTGAATAATTACATTGTTCTTCAAACTTTTCTGCTACCTGGGTACCTAAGAGGGGCTGTGTGATTTGTTAGTCATTAAGAATAAATCCCAGGGGCTGGGGATTTAGCTCAGCGGCAAAAGCGCCTGCCTGGCGAGTGCAAGGTCGTGAGTTCGGTTCCCGGTACCGGAGAAAAACCAAAAAAAAAAAAAAAAAAAGAATAAATCCCTTTCTATCAGACCTGCCACTGATTCTTCAGTAGACTTCTGTGGCTTGGTGATCCTCGTCAGTGTCCCTACAGTGTAGTACTACTATGGGAGAAAAAAACTGAACTGGACTAAAACTGAACACTTTCAGCAAGTCACTTAGATTCTATGACCCAAAAATGATGGGAATGATATTACTGTACTTCCAACAGCACAAAATTTTAAATTTTTTTTTAGGAATAAGTGAGGTATTATGTGAAAAAACAACATGCCTGGAACTGCAAATCAGCCTATCAGAGCAAGGTCATGTTGTTTATTTCTCCTTGAAGTGCAGGGCAGTGGAAGTTTCCTTCTCACAGACTTCACTCCTTTGAATAAGAGGGGAGTGTTTTTGTGAAAAGTGAAGTAAATAGGCCGTCTGTTCCATTCTATCATTCATTCATTCAGCATGCCATTCCACAAAGCCAGCCCTTGAATTTAAGTAGCAGAGACAGGTCATATGCAACTACAAAGGCAAGATTATTTTAACCAATGATGAAAGTTATTAAGAAAAATGGAGGAACAGAAAGAAAAGGCCTGCTGGAGGAGGTGTGATAGTTGCAATTCTAGAAATATGGGCAGGAATAACCTATTTTCACTTATTCAGGAGAATTAAAATGTAACTAATGAATAAAGTGCTTGGCAATGGCAGAATGCTTGAAATTTAAAAAAAAAATTTTATGTCCCTTTTCCTTTTTGAATTTTATTAGAGCTACTTGATGCACACAGCCTAGTCTGAGAAGTAGCCATGATGAATCCAGAACCCAATTGGATAAAATCCCAAATTGACAAAGTTACTTACCCATTTCTTGCCTGGTGCTGGCTATGCCCACACCATATGTCTCTAAAACATCTTTTACTGTCCTCATAGACTCATCATACTTGTTTGCAAGTCCAAGGAAGTTATAGGAGCCTATGTTAATAACGTCTTTGATGACTTTTCCGGTAAACCTGCAGGGAGAGACATGAGCACAAAGGGTGATCTCATTTCATATCATCCCGGTGCCAAGCAGACCTCAGTCAGGCCCACTTCATACATTTTCTTTTTTTGTTTTTGACTTGCTCTGTTGTCAGCATATAAGGGTTTGTCCTTAGAGGAAAATGACTCCATAATGAATGGGGGCAGAGCAGTGGAGAAAGGTATCCTGAACTGCAGTGTCGCCTGAGCCCTGGTGCTCCTCAAGTATTTGGTTTCATGGCACCTATGCTCTGGCTTAAAGCCTGATAATGGACAGAGCACTGGTCATCACTGCCTCCACCAGCAGAAGCAGAAGGGGACAATCAGACAACTCTTCCAGGCTGGCTCTGTGTGCTGCACCTCTGACACAGGTCTCACCTTCGTTACAGCTTAAACAAGCCACCTTGGTAACCTAGTGACTACAAATTCCTCCCCTGGCACAGTGAGCACCAGCTGGTTCTGTGCTCTGGTCTTTCAGATCTGTAATCTGGCGCTCCCTGTAAACATTTCAGTGAAAGGACTTTTTTCCACCAAGCCCTTCCAGATGGCTGTCTCACCTGAATGTCCAGTTATAGTCGTCTGACACTCTCTCCATCACGTCAAAAAGAGGCCCAGGGGCACTGCAAATGGACCGGCTCCAGTTGTCTCTGATTCGCATATAAAGGTTCCGTGTATAAAAATTCTCAAAGTCTTGGTACAGTGGCACAAAATGCTGTTGTAGCAGAATAACAGAGGTAAAAGGTAAAAGATTAGCTTTCTTTTGCAACTGAAGGCTGGAGGAAGAGACCTGTAAGTAATCCATCCACAGATGTTTTCTGAGCAAGAGTCAGTAGGTGAGTGAACACTAGGGGCCACGAATAACCTGTGAGATCGCCATCCTTGAAGAATCTACTCTTGCTGGGTGCAGTGGTCCATGTCTATAATTTCAGTACTCTTGGAGGCTGAGGCAAGAAGATCACAAGTTTGAGCCCAAGCAGGGGAATTTAGCAAAACCCTGTCTCAAAAAAAAGGAAGGGTTGGGGGTATAGCTCACTGGGAAGACCCTGGGCTCAAATCCCAGTACTGAATAAAAATACCCCAAACAACAATAATAAAGTAGAGTACTAGAGGTGATAGTGCAATAGAAGGCAAGCTAGACAAGCAGCAGTGACACAAGAAGTCCTTGCTGCAGTGTTCCCAAGAAGGGAATCCTCCAACTGGAGGGCAGCAGTAGATGTTGATGTCCAAAGAAGTTTAGTTGCAAAAAAAGAAACAACTGTTTGAGATGATAATTTGCTCTTAAATTTTTGAGCACAGATAACCTCATTTATTGTGTTTTTAGAAGTGGGGATGGATTTGACCTGTTGGGCCTATTGGCAGAAATGCTATTGGCAAGTGGTTGGCTATCATTTGTCTGAGGATAATAATCTGGTGGAGGCACCAGGCTTCTCCTGTGGTGGAGGTGACAGCACTGTATTCTTGTGTACAGTGTAATCCTTAATAGGTGTGTTGGGGGGCGGGGATCCACCATCCGGCTGAGGCTCCTAGAAAGACGTGGCTCATTTTATCATTTGACTTTTAACAGCTAATGTTAAGCAAAACTCTGGCTATTAGACAAGTGCAAATTAAAACAACACTGTGATTCCATCTTACACAGGACATTAAAGATTTGGTTCTTTTCAATATTAAATAAAGACAAGATTAAATAACACTGACAAACCCTTAGCCAACCTTATCAAAAAGGGAAAGAAAAGACTCAGTCCCCTGCAGTTAGAAATGAAAACGGTGAAATCACAACAGATCCTACAGAAATCCAGATGATCATTTATACCTACTTCAAGAACATGTATTCTAATAAGATACCAACACAGAAGATACATATGAATTACCAAAACTGAATCAAGAAGATATAAAAATTCTAAATAAACCAATATTAATCACTGAAATAAAAAATATAATTAAAAACATACCAATAAAGAAAAACCCAGGTCCTGACAGAATCACGGCTGAATTCTATAAGAAATTTAGAGAAGAACTAATGCCACTACTTCTCAAACTCTTTAATGAAATTGAAAGGGAAGTAAGACTTCCATTTCTAGAAGCAAGCATCACTCTGATACCAAAGCCAGACAAGGATCTTGACAAAAAAGAAAACTACAGGCCAGTTTCCATAAGGAACTCAGAAATCCTCCATAAGATACTGTTGAACAGAATGCAGAATTTATACACCATGACCAAATATATTAACAGAGCTCAGGACAAAAAATAGTATGGTCATCTTAATAGACCATGACCAAATAGGATTCATCCCAGAGATACAGGGATAATTCAACATGCACATATCAATAAAGGTAATACACCATATTAACAGAGCTCAGGACAAAAATTGTATGGTCATCTTAATAGATGCATAAAAAGCACTTGAAAAAGTCCAACTCCCATTCATGATAAAAGTGCTACAGAAAATTGGAATAGATGGTCTTTATCTCAGTTTGATAAAAGCCATCTATGACAAACCAATAGCTGACATCATACTAAGTGGTCGATACCTGAAAGTTTTCACTAAAAAAATGAGGAACAAGACAAAGATGTCCACTATCACCACTCTTATTCAATATAGTTTTGCAAACATTAGCCAGAGCAACCAGACAAGGGAGAGAGACAAAGAAAAGGAAAAAAGATAGAAAAGGAAGAAATTAAATTGTCCTTATTTGAAGATGACATGATACTGTATGTAGAGGAGTCAAAAATTCCACCAAAGACTTCTATATTTAGTGACCAAATTCAGTAGAGTAGTGGGATACAAAGCCAGCACTCAAAACTCCATAGCCTTCCTGTACATAAATAACAAACTCACTGAGAGAGAAATTAGGAAAACCAAATCTTTCACAATAACATTCAAAAAAAGAGAAATACCTAGGAATCAATCTAACAAAAGGAGTAAAAGAACTTTGTATTGAAAATTACAGTTCTCTGAAAAAGGAGATTGAAGATGATATCAGAAAATGGAAAAATATCCCTTCTTCTTGGGTAGGAAGAACAAATATAGTGAAAATGGTCGTACTCCCAAAATTTTTACGCAGATTTAATGCAATCCTAGTCAAAAATACCAAAAACATACCTCAAAGAATTAGAGAAAACAATCCTAAAATTAATTTGGAACCAGAAGAAACCTAAAATAGGGGAAACAGTTCTGGACAACAAAGATAAGGCAGGGGGCATCACAATCCCTGGACTTGAAATTGTACTACAAAGCTATTGTGGTAAAAACAAACAAACAAACAAACAAACAAAAAACAAAGCATGGTACTAGAAAAGAAAAACAAACTGAATATCAATGGAATTGATTAGAAGATGCAGAAACAACTCCAAACACTCAGTCACCTTATCTTTGACAAAGGGGCCAAACATGTTTACTGGAAGAAAGATAGCCTCTTCAGTAATTAGTGCTGGAAAAACAGGCTTTCCACATGCCTAAGATTAAAACTAGACCCATGTCTCTCACTGTGCACTAACTAAAGTCAAACTGGGTCAGAGATCTAAATACTACAACAGATTCACTAAATCTGCTGGAAGATAGAATAGGAAGAACTCTTGAAGACACAAGTGTAGGCAAAGACTTTATAAACACAACTTAATAGCACAGGAACTATCACAAAGAATTAACAAGTGGGATCACATCTTATTAAAAAGCTTTTTCACTGCAAAAAGAAACCACCAACAGAATGAAGAGACAACACATAGAGTGGGGAAAAATTTTACCAGCTTTTCCTCAAAGGACTAATATCTAGAATATATAAAAAACTCAAAAAAATTGCCTCCCCAAATTTAAAGACAATGCAAAAGTGGGCATTTTAAATGAATAGACATTTCTTATATGAAGAAGTAGAATATGAAAAACATAATACCACTGGTCATTCAAGAGGTGCAAATTAAAAGTATGTTGAGATTCCATGTCACCCCAGAAAGAATGGCTATCATCAAGAAATCAACCAGTAACAAATGATGGCGGGTCTGTTGGGGGGAAAAAGAACCCTTCCCCACTGTTGCTAGGAGTGTAGACTGGTGCAACCACTGCGGAAATCAGTGTGGTGGTTCCTCAAAAATCTAGGATTAGAGGTCCCATATGACTCAGCTATTCCCTTTATTGGTGTCCTCCTGAAAGAATTAAAAGTGATATAATAGCTACATATGCACACCCATGTATACAGTGGCACAATTTGTAGAAGCCTAAATGCACATCAATTAATGAATGCATATAGAACATTTTTTTTTTAAATACGTTGGCATACTAGTGTGCCATAAAGAAGTCAGTAAGCTTGAGACATTTCTAGCTAAATGGATGAAAGTTGACACCATACCAGTAAGTGCAATAAATCAAACCCACAAGTTTAAATACTACATTGTTTCTCTGGTGTGAGAAACTGAAAGTATAAATAAGGACCAAACTGTACAATAGATAGTGAAAAATGGGAAGAAAATGTTCAAATGAGGAGGGGAACAAGGAAAGGGGGAGGGGGAATCAAAAGAAGGGACAAGAAAAAAAAGAATAGAAGGAAAAAAGGAAACAAAGCTTTTGTAAAGAATGAGGGGAAGAGGGGCTGAAGGGAGGAGTGGAAAATGGGAAAAAAGAAGAATCAAGACATATCATGAACAGCTACAAATTCCCTATGATGAGTGCCATCATTATGTATATCTGAAATGTACCAATAAAATATTTAAGAACACAAAAGAAAAGAAAGACATCAAATAATAATAAATATTGGTAAGTCTGTGGGTAAAAGGAACACTTCTGTATTATAGGAGGGAATGTAAACTAGTACAACAACAATGGAACTTAGTGTAGAAATTAAAAAAAAACCTAAAATGTGAAATTCAACTTGACTCAGATATTTCCATTCTATGTATTTTCCTGAAAGATTAGACAACATATTACACTGATGCATGCATGCCAGTGTATATAGCAGCACAATTCACAACAGCTCAGTCTTAGAAGCAAACTTTATGTCCAGCAACAGATCAGTAGATAAAGAAAGTGTGATATTTGTATACAATGGGGAGTTACTCTGCCATTGATGAAATCATTTGTAGGAAAATGGATGCACCTTATGGCCATAATATTAAGTGAAATAAATTAGACATTCAAGCTCAATATTGCATGGTTTCTCTTATGTGAGGAACTCAAAATATAAAGAACAAAATAAAAGATAGATAACATGAAGTAGAAAAGTAGATCTTTTGCAAAAGGGAAGGGGATGTAGAGATGGAGGAAGTGGGGGGGGACAGGAGAGGAAGGAGTGAAAAAAAGCATTAAGATGTGCTATGTACGTGTACTGACTCCATACAAGGAACATAATCATTGTATACTGTACACACGTACCAATAATAATAAAAATTGAACAAGATGAAAAAGCTGAACTATAGCCTAAGCCATATACCCTGAGTATTTGTAGTATTATAGCAGAAGGGAGAGTCACAGTTTCTGGAGCACCCAAGGAAGCCTTGTGTGAGAGGAACCTTGGAGTAGTGCAGAATGAGGTTATGGTTGGTAGGGATGCTTAGGGAGGGTACTAGGGTGAATAGCTTTGTAAACCGAAGTGTAGAATGTGAGACAAATAAGAATAAATGTCAGGTAGATCCTGCCATTCTTGCTTAGAAACTATATTGGCTCCCACCTCACTCCAAGTTATAGCCAAGGTCCTGATTCATTTGTCTTCCATGGCATTTCTTCTC